CAAAGATTTAGAAAAAGTTGTTTTGGTGGCAGAAATTATTTGAAGATGTCAAGGAATTTGTGAAGCATCGTAATACATGTGCAAGGTGTAAGTCTAAATCAATGGCTTATCTAGGTCTGCTATCTATTCCAAGTAGAGTTTGGGAGAGTGTGACTATGGATTTTATAAAAGGATTGCCCAAGTCAAGTGGGAAGGATACTATTTGGGTGATTATTGATTGTTTTAGTAAATATGCACACTTTTTGCCTTTGTCTCATCCTTTTGCAGCATCTATCTTGGCTCAACATTTTTTGGATCATGTGTACAAGTTACATGGAGCTCCAGTCGAGATTATTAGTGATAGAGACCCCCTCTTTTAGTAATTTTTGGAAGGAATTTTTAAAGGTTTTGGGGGTTGAATAGAAGCTTACTTCCTCTTATCACCCACAAACGGATGGGCAATCAGAAGTTCGCAATTGCTGTTTGGAAAATTATTTGAGGTGTGTGTGTTGGGAAAAACCTAAGGAGTGGGATAAATGGCTTTCTTTGATAGAGTGGTGGTATGGCACATCCTATTACACTTCTACAAAAACTACTCCTTATGAATTTCTGTATGGACAGGGTCCTCCTACACATATTCCTTGTTTTCCTAGAGATGTGGCTGTAGAAGCTATTGACAAAACTTTTTCAGCAAGGGAAGAGGCTTTAGCAATTGCAAGATACCACCTCAATTGGGCTATGAATAGAATGAAGCAAAAACCTGATTTGCATAGAAGTGATAGAGAGTTTGAGGTGGGACAGTGGGTGTTTCTCAAACTACAACCTTATCGTCAAAATTTTCCAGCATCATGGAGCTCTCAGAAATTAGCTCTAAGGTATTTTGGGCCTTATAGAATCTGTAAAAAGATAGCTCCAGTGGCTTATAAGTTGGAAGTACCTCCCAAATTAAGGGTTCACTCCACTTTTCATGTCTCTTTGCTAAATTACGTCCTAATCCTTCTGTAAAGCTGCGGTATCCCCCTCTTGATTGGCTAGAGCCTCCTTCAGATCTGGTTTCGGCAAAAATATTGAATGAGCGAAGGGGTAGGAAAAAAGGTAGGATCATTACTGAAGTACTTGTGCAGTGGAAGGGTCTTTTGGATGAAGAAGCAAGCTGGATTTCCTTGTTTCAGTTGCAAAAGCAACACCCTACTTTTGTCATTCCTAGCCCTTGAGGTCAAGGGTTCTTGAGGGGGGGATTGATATGTAAATAGGATAATTAGAATTAATTAGGCTACCGTTAGTCATTTAGTTCTATTTAGTCGTATGTGAGCCTATATAAGGGATATCTGTGTACTTGACTCTCTTATGTTGAATAATATTCACAGTACTATTTAGGAAACTCTCTCCTTTGGCCTCAAATTCTTCTCTATTCTCCTTTGTTCTACACAACATATTTACCATTTGAACCACCCTATATTAGTTAGTTACAGCTTCTCCGGTAGGGAATGAAAGAGGAAAAATGGATAATATATACAGTGAAGGTAGCCTAATGCAAAAGAAAATATAGCTGAAATAGAAATTCTTCCCTAATGTTTGAGAGGTCAGGTGCTCTCCTAGCACACTAATGTCTGAATTTCTTGCCTCACCTAGGCATATGACCCAAGATAACCATCTCCTTGCTGTCTCTTGTAGGATTATCTAGCCTTAGACCTATTGTGGTTCCTTTCTCTGAGTCTTCATTATTATCATGAGCCTCATGGACCTCTTAACAAGAAATGGGGCCATGTATACAAGAGGAAGACTAAGAGAGGCGGCCTACAAGAAGGGAACCAAGATTATGTAGCCCAAGATAGTAAAGGGTAGGATGGGAATAATGCTGGGATTTCTGTACAGGGTTGTTAGAAAGTGGTGGTGCGTTAAGCACCTGTAGGAGATGTAGTGAGTAGGAAGAATTTTCTTTAGGTGAGGAGATGTCCCAGTCTCTCGAAAACCAGGCTCGAGGGTTATTATTTTCTGGGTGTTTTTTAATGTGTGGAGCTCTCATCTAGAGCATTTTAGGCGTAATTTTCTACATTTTCCACTTATAGAGGATTACCATTCAAAGTTCTCCTTTATTTCACTTTTTCATCAATATGATCTATCATTTTGGTATTAGAGCAAGCTATTTTGGGTAATGGTAGGAACAAGAATGGAAAACAAAGTAGAATAGTTGGACAAGGTGATGGATGAGGTACAAGGGAAACAGGATAAGACGAACGTAAGGATAACTGGGGTGAAAACAGCAATGGAACACATTTTAGAGGAACTCAACAAGATTGGAACTGTAGTTAAGGCTTCCAACACAAACAGGAATTAGGGAAGGGATGAGCAAGGAGAGAGACCCCAGAATGAAATCTAGCCTGGAACTAAGTGCCACAAGGAAGGTAATTGTGAGGAACATGTTGAGGTTGGAAAAGAGGACACAAAGCAGAATGATCCTAATCAATATAGAGGTTTGGAGTTACCCTTGTGCAATGGTGAGGACCCATTAGTTGAATGATATTTTGCAGTCAATGGGATTAATGAAAAGGAGAAGCTTGATGCAGCAGTGGTTAGTTTAGAAGGGAAGGCTCTTACCTTGTTTTAGTGGCTTGATATGTGAACTCTGGTGAAATCTTTAAAGCAGTTCAAGATAGAGGTTATTGACCATTTGCACTATCGACAAGCGGGAGATGAGTATGAACAACTATTAGCCTTGAAGCAAGAAGATTTCGTGGTTGAGTTTAGAGAGGAGTTTGAATAGGTCTGGGCACCTTTAGGGGTTATGCCTAATGAGATACTCATGGGGGCATATGTGAATGTGTTGAAAGAAGAGATTCACTGTGACATTAAATTGATACACCTCATAAATATGAAAAACTTGATGGCCAAGTGGAAGACTGTGATCAAGTCAAGGAGAGGATGGAAGAGAAGAAGAAAAATGCGATGAGAACAGCAGTAGGGGTCACTGGAGTGACCTTAAATCTATGATGCCCAAGTATAGTCCCATAGAGATAGTGAAAAACTCAAGTTTGACTTTGATGGCAAAGTCAACAGCAAGTAAAGGAAGGGAGGAAGCTAAAATGGCACCATCTATGGTGTTGACATCCAATAGTTTCACCCTGAGTAGTAAAGAGAGCAGTAGCATGAGGATACGACTTTCAAAAGAGATCAATTGAAGGCATGAGTTGGGCATGTTTCAAATGTGAAGAAAAATTAGGCTCAACTGCAAGTGTAAAACAAACATTTACAGATTATTTTAGAAGAGGGAGATGGACTTGAAGATTGTCGGCCTAAGGAGGGCCAAGATGTAGAGATCCACATGGGAGAAAAAGAAATGGCTTCCCTAGAACTTTTGATGACTATGGCTGTTGGAATCACTAGGAAGAGGACCCTTATGTTAGTCAAGGAGATGCATGGAAGGGAGGTTGTCGTTCTAATTGATGGTAGAGCCACCCATAATTTCGTGGCCACAGCATTGGTGAATCAACTCAGAATCCCAACTAGGTGTGAGGGAAGTATTTAGTCACAGTTGGGGATGGGTACTGGATTTTCTCGGATCTCAAGTGTCTTGAGATTTGACTAAATGTGCAAGGGCTGGAAGTACAACAAGCATTCTACCCCTTTAATTTGGGGAATGTTGACCTTGTGCTTGGGGTCGAGTGGCTTGCATTGTTTAGGGAGACTTGGATGAATTGGCAGCAACTGTCGAGATCCCCTTGTCTTACTCAAGTGGAAAGAGTCTTCTAGGGTCCATGATTTATGCCAACAAATCAAGGACGGGAACCTAATTCTAGATGAACTCAGCCCAATTAGAATGAGCACAGTCCCAGATGAAGGATCAAGCAGATAAACACAGGCGAGAACTCCAATTTGATGTGGGTGAATCTGTATATTTAAAGTTGAAACCATTTAGGTTCAAGTCACTTGCCAAGAAGCCAAACGAGAAGCTAGCTCCCTGGTATTATAGCCCCTATTGCGTTCTGGAAAAAATGGGTACAGCGGCATATCATATTGAGCTACCCCCTACTGCAAGGATACATAATGTATTCCATGTCTCTCAGCTAAAAAGGGCCTGAAAGCTTCTTCTACAGCTCAACCTTTACCTAACAGTCTTTTTCAAGAAGTAGAGCTACCGCTGGAACCTGAATCTTTTTGGAAGAGCATCAGGATGCTAAAGGAAAGGTCCAGCTCTTGATGCATTGGCGTGATTAAGCTGACTGTGAAGACACATGGGAAGACTTAGAGGTCATACGAGAGCAATTTCCCCATTTTCACCTTGGTAACAAGGTGTCGCTTGAAGAAGGGGTAAATGATGTGCCTTTCAACAAGAAATGGGGCCACATATACGAGAGGAAGACCAAGAGAGGCAGCCCACATGAAGGGAACCGAGATTCTGCAGCCCAAGACAGTAAAGGGTAGGATGGGAATAATGCTGGGATTATTGTATTGGGCTGTCAGGTGGTGGTGGTGCTTTAAGAGTGCTGTAGGAGATGTAGTGAGTGGGGAGAATTTTCTGTGGGTGAGGAGAGGTCTTGGTCTCTCGAAAGCCAGGCTTGAGGGTTGTTATTTTCTGAGTGTTCTTATTTAATGGAGCTCCCATCTGGAGCATTTTAGGTGTAATTCTCTACATTTTATGCTCATAATAGAGGATTACCATTCACATTTCTCCTTTATTTCACTGTTTCATCAATAGGTTCTATCGGAGCCTTAGTTGTAATTTTGGGCTGTCTTCTTTTATAAACATGGCCTGATTGGGTATTGGTCTATCAGGTGCCCATTAGTATATGATTATATGATAGAGCTCATGATTTCACTAAAACCACTAGAGTTTCCTTCAGTTTCCCTTGCTTTCTATGCTTTCTGATTCACCAAAAGCTTTATCTGTTTTTTCTTGGTCATGGGACCAATTAAAAACAAAATTATTTCCCAGGGAAAATTAGTCTTACAGTTATAACCATCATTATGACGAGCAACTTGTCACAGCTATATATACTTGTTTGGTTCTTGTGTTGTTTCAGATTTCGTTGACCTTCTCACCCATAATATTGGCAGTTGCAACAACAGTTGGAACGGCAATAGCATATGTGCTGGTTCCAATGCGATCACTTGGTCAAGATAGTTGGAAGATAGCAGCTGCACTCATGGGCAGACATATTGGGGGAGGTCATTCTCATTTCTTTACCTAGATCTTATTAATAGTGGTTTCTAATCTTCGACGCAGACATGGTTTTCTGAAGTTTAACTGGTGATGAATAATTTCCCTTGTTTAGCTGCCAACTATGTTGCCATATCTGAGGCGCTTGAAATTTCTCCTTCAGTTTTAACTGCTGGGTTAGCTGCAGATAATGTTATCTGTGCAGTATATTTTTCAACATTGTTTGCACTAGCCTCTAAAGTGCCTCCAGAGGCTTCATCATCAGGAAACGGTAACTTTTCTTCCTTCCTGGTTATAAGGAACAAATCTTTGTTTGAGCATTCCAACACAGGCAAAGACTTGTAAGCATATCAGGCACACTAAACTTTCAAGCGAAACTGATCTTTCACATGCTTGATTGGTTTTTGTTTTACTTATCTCTCATAGATTGGGTCTATGTTAGGATTTCTACAATAATATTAATATTAATATCATATATAATTTGGGAAAGGCATGATATATTCCCTGATGGACCCATAGCTTTTGGGTCTAAGTTGTTAATGGACTATCGCAGGAGGGTAGAAATGAAAGAGAGTTCAAAGGCCTGGTCGAAGGGAAGGAAAAAGGTATTAGGTACTGTGAGTGTCATTTGGGCCATGAGTGTGGTGAGTTGGATGAGGGATTGTGTTAGTGGGATTGGAGAGCTTTATTAAAGGGGTTTGGAGGATCGTGAGGAGGCTGGCGGAAAGTGAGTATTGTGAGGGAGGGTGCTTGGTCTCTCTAATACTAGGTTGGGGGTGGAGGAAGTTCATCTTTCTTCATTTTCCTTTATGCTTTGAGAGTGTAATCTGTTCATAGGCTTCATTAGAGTTGCGTATATTTGTCACTTTCAGTAGCTTATTGCTAATATGTGTCTGTTTTATAGCTTGCAAGGGAGTTGTAATAGACTTCTATTACTATTATATTGAGCCAAATATTTACAACAACAACAACAACAACAAGCCTTTATCCCACTAGGTGGGGTCGGCTACATGGATTGCAAGACGCCATTGTGCTCTATCATTTATCAAGCTTTTAGAAATATTATTAATTAAGAGATCACGTTCAATAACTTCCAAGAGTGTTCTCTTAGGCCTTTCTCTACCTCTCTTAATCGGACTCAAAGTTATATGTTCCACTCTTCTCACTGGTGCCTCCCTTAGTCTTCTTTGTACATGCCCAAACCATCTCAACCGATTTTCTACCATTTTTTCCTCAATAGGTGCCACCCTCACTTTTCCGCGTATGTGTTCATTTCGAATTTTATTTTTACGTATATGTCCGCACATCCATCGTAACATTCTCATCTCTGCTACTCCAACTTTATGCTCTTGCTGTCCCGTTAGAGCCCAGCATTCACTACTATTGAGCCAAATATTTAGTAGAAGAATATTTCAATTTCATTTGGGTCTGGTCTCCATCATTCTCTTAAATTTTGGATTCATTGTCTTTCAATGCTTATGGTACTAGATATGGCCGTTTGAATTGCATGACAAGTATATCAGTGACAGTGACACCTAACTGGCGGAGTTTGGGAGATGGTGCAACGAATTCAGAATCTAAGTCTGGGAACAAACTTCCGGTGCTGCAAATGGCAACTGCCCTTCCTGTGGCCTTTGCCATCTGCAAGACTGCTGCCTTTCTTATTCGTTATTTTGGAATCCCAGGGGGTAGTCTGCCAGCTATAACAGCTATTGTTGTAATACTCGCAATTGCATTTCCAAAGCCATTTGCTTTTCTTGCACCGTCTGGTGAGGCTATGGCTGTCATTCTCATGCAGGTGAGCTTGTATCTAATGGTACTGCTGATTGCATAGCGTGTCATAGACCAGGTCTTTCAATGTTACTTGAAAGAGGTCACAAGCTAAATTTTTATGCTCAACAAAATAAAATAAAAAAATATAAATGTAAATAAAATCCAATTAACTCAAACGCTATAATTTTTCTAAAAATTACGAAAGGTGAGGTTTTTGGGTGCAGGTGGCTATTATTATTCTTTGGTTTAAATACATTTTTGCTATCTCTGGTTTTGATTGGAGCCTTTATTTTCTTCGACATTTAGAAATATGTAATTTGATCTTTTATCACAAGTTTAGTTTTGTTGGCAACATAAATGTCATGTTTTAGTTAACTTGCTTGTGTAGTTGAAATTTAGGCCTTGGGGATTTGCTAGGTGATAAGTAATCTAGTAATATCATACTTTAGTCACGTGGTCCGTGCGTCTGGACCAGTTTTTCTTATGTTTGAGGGAAATTTAGGGTGGTGTCATTTGATTCTTCGTCATCTAGTTAGGCCATATAACTCAAACTACACCATGAATTAAAGCTTCACATGTTTATCCATTATTTCCTTTTTATCCTATTTATTTCTTAATGTTTATAACAAACGAGGTACTGGGCCTATAGAATAGTAGTGAAAAGGGGCAAGGTTGCAACTTCAAGTTTTCTCAATCTCCAGAAAAGAACTGAGATGGAATGGCTCAGTTGCATTATTGTTGAATGTGGAAGGAGAGCAAATCAATTAAATTAAGAAGGATCAAGTTGAATCTTCTCCAGTATTTGGCGGACCAAAAAGGATATTTGAGCCTTTATTCTATTATAATGTGGAAGTAGAATTTTCACCTTGTATCTCTGTTCTCTTTTTTGGATACGTATAAATGATAGTAAGAGTAGGTTATTCCAATACTAATATCAAGACTTCCGGTTGCAAACATTTCTTTCTGGTAACTATGAGTAATTGACACAATGAAGGTTGGATAAAAAATAGGGAGAATGACAATAAATCCTAAAAATTGGAATTTATGACAGTAAGTCCCTGACAAAATTTTGTAAAGAATAAATTGTAAATATTAATTCAAATAGTTACAAATATAAATCCTAACTGCAAAGTGACGTTTGTATTTAAAATTTAAATGTTTTTATTTATAATTAGAACTTTTAAATTTATGACTATCGAAATGTTTATAATTGATTTTTCAGAAAATTTTATTGGATATTTAACGTTCATAAATTCAAAGATTCAGGACTTTAATATCATTCTCTCTTAAAAAAAAAATGCGTTTATGGGCCTCATTGTCATAAATTTTGCATACTCAAAACTACCACTACTCTTCAGACACACATGTTTTCCTCCCTCTTGTTCTCTGTGGAATGTATTGTATTTCATTATTTATGAAATATCTAACAGGATCTTTACTTAATTGACTGTATGACTTTTGGCATGCCTGTGAGAAATAGGTATTCTTTGCGGTCATAGGTGCAAGTGGGCAACATATAAAAAAAATAGGACCATTCATATTGGAGAGATACTGCTCAACCTCTGCTACATGGTCTCATTAACACTACCGTCTTAATTTCGATCCACTATTGGCAATACGTAGGACTAGTGGAAATAGAACTCCTCGGGGCTGACATAGACGGGCCTGTATCAGTATTGCCCCATAGAGCCAAGAGAAGAGGAAGAGTACAAGCCTATAAGCATGCAGGCACAGGAAGAAGGGATTATAGAGCCTGTCTGCCAAATTACTTTGCAAGCGATAGAAGGAAAACCAAAGCGGGCTGTCCTGGAGAAACCCAGCGCAAAGATGACCCAATACCTGAAGCCTTTATACATCAAGACACATTTCGATGGGAGACCAATGACTAGGGTCCTCGTTGATAATGGCTCGGTAGTGAACATTCTGCCAGCCCATATGATGATCAAGATAGGGTGAGAGGAGCATGATTTAATACCGACTGAGGTATTAGTTGTAGGGTTTACTGGGATTACATCTAAGGTCCTTAGCATACTACCATTACAGGCTGATGTCGGGACCAAGTCGTCACTGACGGCCTTTTTCACGATCAGCACCATAGCATAATACTAGGCCTTCTTAGGATGGGATTGGATCCATGCCAATGAATGTGTACCCCCTTCACTGCATCAGATGCTCCTTATGTGGAAAGGAGAGGAGGTAGAAGTAGTCTGGGCTGAAGACAAGCCATTCACAGCAGCCACTGATTTCGTGGATGTGAGGTATTACGATGCTGACGTGGGCCCGTTCACATTTTGAAAGGCTCAAGGAATCCTTTCATGTAGAACAACAACAGACGCTATAGTACCTCTAACCTCATAGGGGCACGACCCCATCATAGAACTGGTTGGTGCCTAAAACAAATGAAGGAAAGTTTGTAGTAGTCATGGCCATCCAAAAGTTATGGTTGCACAATCTACAAGAGAAACTAGAAGATTATGGACCCGAGATCTATAGGACCAAAGTTGTATATGAAGATGAGACCCAGAAGGTAGCACAACTGCATGAGCTAGACCCTACACCTTTGAAATTCAATGGCATAGCCTCAGAGGTCCAGGATCCACTAGAAGAAGTAAACCTTAGATCCTCAGAAGAGTCGAGGATCACATTCATTAACTTACTACTAGATAAAGAACAGAAGGATGCCATCAAGCTAACACTGTTGTAATTCAAGGACTGCTTTGCATGGGACTATGATGAAATGCCAGGGCTATTATGCTAATAGCATTGAAGGTTATCCTAGACTAAGGTAGGGAGTTGTGGTCCTACTTTGTGCAAGGCTAGGAAGTCCTGATAGTTTTAAGCGTAGAGCTTGACTCCACTGGGAAGGACCTAAGAGACCACCTATATACAAAGAGGATACCTAGTCTTAGACAGAGGTTTGTTGGGCCATGTTTTGTGTAAGACTGGAAGTCCTTGTTCAAGCGTAGAGCTTTCTCTACTAAGGAGAACCAGGAGTGCATGAAAATAAGCATGGTGGATGGATGAGTATGACTTTGTGTATATGCATATTATTCTATTTTACTAAAATAATGCTACTTTATCTCTTGTTTATGATTTTACTTACTAACCGGTATTTAGGTTATATCCGAGTTATTAGGACGTATGTCTTATTCCGTTACCTTTGTACACAAGAAGGCCAGGAAAGGAAGTGAGGAAAGAGTAGCCTCGTTTGGTAGTAGTATGACTACCGATTGTGTAAATGAATGTATAATATGTTGTTAGAGTTAAATTGCCAACTAGGATGCATAAGTGTATGTGAAATGAATACGTGAATGTGTATATGTTATGTGGTTAAAAACTTTCTTGTATATATATAATTTTGCATCTCGCCAAGGGTACCACAGTAGTGGGTATGTGGGTCGGCCTAAATTCCAATCAAATAAGTATATGTTACTTTGTAATTTGTTCCACTTGTATATATGTGAATTGTTATGTGAAATTATGTGTACGTGAGAACTTGACACAAATAGTGAGGCTAAGCCCCATTTGGAGGAGTCAAGTATATTTGTGATTCTAGACTGTATGGTGAGGCATAGCCCTATATGTAAGAGTTGGATGATTGAAAGTGAAACAAGTTTATATATATTTGTGTTGAATATTTTTGTGCATCATATAAGTCAATAATTGTGTAAGAGGTCAAATTGAGTATTTGATGTGATATTTGTATTATGATGAGTCAATTAGGTGTATGTAGTCCTTTTGGATTTAATTCAAGACCCAAAGTGGTCTAATGGGATAAGGAATGAGAATTGAACACTTAGGGTGCAAGTTTTGAAAGAAAAGTAGCCTTTTGTACCCGAGTGTCCAATTTTAGATCGAATCATTGGATCAAGTTTAAATTATCTCATTAGAGAGAATATGTTATGAGCTTTGTGTAGGTACTTGAATCATTCCAATCAGACATTGAATGTGGAAATAGTGTGCAGTGAAAGTTTTGCCCTGCAAATTGTCATATGACAGTAGAATTTGTTATCATATGTACTGCAGTACATGGCATAGAGAAGAATAGATCTTGTGGCTTCGTACCACATGCCACTTTTTCAAGGAGAGATGTTGTGTTTCATTGAGTCATTGAATTGTGCTTATACTTCTATTAGCCCTCTTATTTGAACATGTTTTTGATGAAGTCAAGATCCTACATTTTGAAAACAAATCGAGGGCTATTACTATGATATTGTATATATAATTGTATTGTGATGTGTGAGAAAGATGGTAAAGTCTATATGAGGTTATGGACTTTACACGACGTATTGCATTGCAAGAACCCTAGGTTCTATGTGCCATCCATCATGGGGGATGACACAGGCGCCATGGTAGATGGAGCACTTTTTGGGTAACCAAAAATGCCTCTTTTAGTGCTTGTTTGATAGGTTATTCAATTTTCTTGCTTCCGTTAACTTTTGTAACTTATTTTAAACTATTGTTTAAGCTCAAATGGCTTTTCAAAAAGGTTTTCTTAGGATCCTAATATTTTAAACTATCTATTTCTAAACTATTAGGTTGCAATGACTTTAGATAGGAATTTTAATTAAGGGTTAAGGTGAAATTTTTTTCCTTAAACTATTTTCAGAGGTGTAATATTGCCCTTAAACTATTCATTGCAGCAATGTTGTCCTCTCCATTAAAATGTCCGTTACTGTAGCTAGTGGGACCCACTTTTCATGAGTTAAGGTGCAATTTTACGCCTAAACTGCTCTTAAAGGAGCAATATTGCCCTCACAGTTTAAAATTATAAAATTAAATAAAAATAAAATTATAATAATATTAAATACAAATAATATTAAATGTATATATAAAATAAATATAAGAAAAAAATTTATAGTATGTTAATAAAATGTCATAAATTAATAATAGTATAAATTATAATGGCTTAAAGTACAAATCTACCCTCAAAGTTTCCATCCAGGCGCATCTCACATCCTAAAGCATTTTTTGGTACAATTTCAACCCCAACGTTCTTTATTTTGGTACAAACTCACCCCGCCATTAGAATTTGACCAAGTTGAATGTTAAGTCAAAAAATTTGACCATTAACGGCCTTGATAGCAAGCCATGTTGGTCTCCACATGTACCTCCTCTGCCACCTCATTCCTCTCCTCCAAACCTAGATTACGAGCCCTAAACCCAAATGCTCTTCATGAATTCTCACCCTCTTCTTCTTCTTCTTCTTCTTCAACATCTTTTTCATTACTGCCTCTGCCTTCTCTCTCCTTCAAACTCAATCTTTAGTAAATCAGTAGGTGATAACTAAGAATCTACCTTTTCAATGAACAAGCAAATCAGATCCTTTCATCTTGCCATAGCATATGTTCGATTTTAGGTTTTTGGGTTTGACTGAGGAAGGAATCAAGAACCTCACAATGGTGCATGGCAATGAACTCGTGAGAAGAGGAACCTCTCTACATGCTCGAGGAAGCATCGCATGGTCTTGCTGTCATATTTTTTTTTATTTGTTTGAGGAGCCTTGATTTGGAAATAATCACCTAGATCTATTCGAAATGGTCAAGCTTGGATTTAGAAGTAATCATTCAGAATCTTTTAAGGTGTTTTAATTTCCTAGATTTCCAAATTTGTAAATTAAATTCCTTAAGATTCCAGTAGATTATATTTTTTGGGTTCAATTTGACCACCCATATTTTTGGTTTATGGAAGAAGGTTATGGTCTTCGTAATTGTAGGTCTTTGTAAAAAGAGAGACATAATCAAAGAAAACAATCTTGATGAAAGCATATGCTTTTTCCTAGTGTTCTTGAATTATATCTCTATTTCATGTTTATTCATTTAATCAATCTTTACTTTTCAAGATTACATACACTTAGAAAGCCCAAATTGCTTTTTGATTTTTGTTAATCCAAAGGTTTTCATAAGATTTAATTCTTCAAAGTTTCTTTATGGCCAAGTTGAGTGTTTAGGTTGTCTTGTGCTTGCCTTTTGCTTTCTCATCTAATCAGTGCAGAGGATCAAAGGTAAATTGCATTAAATTTTTTTTCCTTAGCAAGAGAAATTATATTATTGTTTCTCTTCAATTTTGCTTTGGTTATATCATTTTTATTTTTGAGTTGAAGCAAAAAGCAATCCACATTAAAAATTATTTTCAAAGAAAAAAAAATGACATGGATGCCATATAAGCATGCCACGTGAGCATCAATAGGTCAAATAGGTCAACTAACACTCAATTTGGTCAAATTGTCATGTCAGGGGAAAATTGTACCAAAATAAAAAATGTCAGGGAAAATTGTGCCAAAAACTACTTTAGGATATAGAGTGCGCCTGGCTGAAAACTTGAAGGGTAGATTTGTACTTTAACCTAATTATAATTTTACAACTTGTCAACTATAAGTGGATCTTGATTAAATTATATATGAGTATACTCAAAAGTATATGCATTTACACCTATAACTATTGACCAAAGCCGTTGTTAATGACTCAAAT